AACGTCATCCCTCCCTTCTATTCTCGAGGAAGCGTTGCGGGTGAAGTGACACATATACAATACTGCTTATTGAGTGTCAGTAATTCGACACCACAGACATGCTACTGCATGAACTTACCTTTCCTCTAACATCTTGAATACTGTCTATAATCGAAATTCACTTCTTTAGGACCACTGATCACAAGCAGGATGGAAAGCCCGAGCTTCAAAATTTCCCATTATCGCATGCATTTTCATAAACCCTTACTTGATCTAGGGAGTGGCTTGTCAGAAGGAATTATTAGACAAGTTTTGTTTTGTTTTTATAATAACTCAGCCACTGTGGTGGTAGAACAAGAAGTACTCACTTACAGCATGCGGGCGCCACTGCTTATATGGCACGCTAACTGTATTCGCTCAAAAGCATAGCGATAGCAAAGATAGCATTGCTAAGGTCCTGACGTGAAGGTTGACCAATTACCGTCGCTGATCTTCACAAGCTTCCTACCGCGAGAATTTTCAATGGTGAGAGGCAACAAATACTCATGGGACTTTTCTGGCTTGGGGCACTCAAAGATTAATACAAGCGTCAAGAGTCCTTCCGAATAGGCGCTGTGAAGAACTGAATTTTTTTGAAGTTGTCCATACCAAATCCTTTAATTGACTATAGACAGCGTTCGTATTATGTACCTCCCAATTATTCTACAGTGGGATTCTTCGGCTTAACCATTCTTCTTATAGAAAAAAGGTTAAAAAGAACCTTTTCCTGACGATATGCCCGAGTTAGTAATGGGGCTTAAACTTCTGGCGCAACTATTTTCATCAAGTGGTCGTTTCAATCAGCAAACGGGCTCAGGGCCTTTGGCGTCATACCCAAATGGACAGTCATTTGTTGATCGCCACTTTGGTACGCGTGAAGACCCAAATGCCTTTGAGATTAAGTAACTTCCTGTTTCTGTATGCGAAGAGCTCATGCAGACAGATGTGCATATTCTCAACCGTTTGAATATTTTCAAATTTTCCTCCAGCTGTCCTGGGTGGACAAAGATGCGGAAAAGTATGATGTCTGTGAAATTACGTTAAGTGGATTCGGTGGCAAAATGCGATAGTGAGGAATATCAATGTCGATTAATTTCTCCAAAGTTGGAAATTAAATTCTGAGGAAATTATAAACCAGCAAATGTAATACTAGACTTTCTACCAGAAGGTACACGGAGAATCCTGGAGGAGTCGAACCCCTCGCAGCTGTGCATTGCAGCGGCAGAATGTCGGCGGAACACGCAATTTGGCTCCTAGCTAGTATATACGCAGCCAGTATGATGTATTGTGTAGCCTCGATATCTCCTATTGACTGCTTATTGGCAGTTTTATAAATATGACGTGGTTATTCCGCTGTGGTTGACAGACTTCGATTCAAATATGCACATTTGCTTTCGGTTTGCGCCTAAAAAGCTTAATTCAGAGCGATTTACTCGGAGTTAGCGATTAATCTCTGGGGAAATTAAAAAGCGGCAAGAACGTAAAATTTCTCTATAAGTTATGTGCTCTAGGTACTGCTCTAACAGCTATGTCTTCCTGGAGAATTTTTCGGGATCGAAAAGGTTGATATGGCACGCATTTTAGTCTATAGAATCTTCTATGCGTTGAATTTGCCACAGTGGATGCAGTGAACTTGTCTCTTAACAAAGCAGGCCATAAAAAATATTCAGTCTCTGGATTCTAATGTTACGATAACATCTGCTTAAAGCAGGGGTCGGCAACGTATGGCTCGCGAGCCAGGTGTTGCTCTTTTGATGATTGCATCTGGCTCTCTCAGATAAAATTGCAATTAGAAACTTCAGATTTTGTGATTTTAATTCCTCTAAGAATCAATCCAGAAGCTTATTATACTCAGATTTAATTTAATTCAATCTTAAAATATATTATATGGCTCTCACTGAAGTATATTTTCAAGTATTTGCTTTCTTGGCTCTCTGAGTCGAAAGGGTTCCCAACCCCTGGTTTAAAGGAATTTATCCGTATATCGCATGTACCTGCTGTCTCTTCGAAAAAAATATTACCAGCCTCTTTCATGCATGCGATTGACTTTTTAGAAAGTATTAATTAAAATTTTGCCGTAGCACATCGTAGTTTCAAATGATTACAGACGATGTATGAGGAAGCACGTTCGATGATATATGAAAAAAAAATCTACCTGGGTCTTTCATGCGAGAGATATGCAGAACTTTTTCGAACTAAGCAACCAAGCCAGGGTAGTAGCAGTCTGATTTGCTGTGTGCTGCAAGTTCCTCGCTACTGTTTTTGCGTCTTATCGACACTGCAAAAATGTTTGCAGTTTTTAGTCAGAGAATTTCCCTTTAATTGCGGACCCACCCATGTATACTAGTTAACTGACGGTCAAAACAGGGCCGTAAAAAAGAAAAATTTTGAAGTACCATCTTGAACCACTGCGTCTCAACAATGTAAAATATATCCAGCCGTCAGTACAACTACAAGTTCGGAGGTCGGCGATTTTCCACCCATTTCTTTTTCTCTGAGCATACGCTCACGTATTG